GTCAATTGTCAGACACAGAGGAGTCCTCATCACCATGTGCTGAAGCTACCACAAGAATGCCAGTGGATGTGCATCTTGTTCCAACAACTGACAGCTAAGAACCACCAATAGCAGCATCAACAACAATCAACAGTTCTTAGTTCCAAACAACACTCCCATCCATAACAGTACACCACAGCATCAGCTATCAGCTATCAACACCAACTATCAAATATAGCAAATCAACACTAGCTATTGAAGCTATCAACAATGATAATGACGGCACTTGGCACTCCCCGGCACTCGGCGGCCCTCAGCACCAGCACTCGGCGGCACTCGGCAGCACTTGGCAGCACTCGGCGGCACTCGGCAGCACTTGGCAGCACTCGGCGGCACTCGGCAGCACTTGGCAGCACTAAGCACTTGGCACTCGTCACTCAGTATCACTACTACTAGTGATGTCCCTAGTAGTAATAGGGACACTCAGCAGCAACACTACAGCAGCAGCACTACTTCTAGTAATAAACAACAGTATTTCTCTGGAAGCACTCATGTCCACAACTGTCTCTCAATAGCAACACTAATCAGCAAGCTGTCAACTCCAGTAGATATTGACACCAGTTATCAAGAACCACAAGGAACTAACAGCATCAGCAACAAGAACAGCATTCCAACCCCCCCCCCCCCTTCCCCCCCCTTCTTTATCAGTGACACTCAGCAACACTATCAGCAACACTATCAGCAACACTATCAATGTCACTTACCAACATAACCAACTAGCATTTGGCAAGGACAAGGATGAGGGCATCAAGGACACTAATACTGACAGGGACAACACAACAGGGGGCATTTGTGGAGTCCCAATCAGCAGCCTTTGAAGGAACATTTGAAGTTGAGTCAGATGCAGAAACTTTGTTTGAGGATGATGAAAGCTCAAGTGATGAGAAGGTTGCTGAAGAAGAGACTGTTGATGAGGTTAATTATGGTTCAGCTGCTTCCAGAATGTGTCACAAGGAGGCAGCACAAGTAGAGTTTTTTAATGTAGTAATCACTCAGAGCCAGACAGCTTCTTGGAACTGGGATAATGCTGTTTAGCCTTACAATACTGAGCTCTTTTATTGGAAGAATGGAACTATTGCTGATAGCAGTTGTAACTTTCCAATTGTACCAGTAGGCTATGAAAGGAAGGATCCAAAGGTTGACAAAGGAGAACCTGAAGACTGGAAGAATAATGTKGTTGATAATAGTACAGGTGGGTGGCACCCCTATTACTGCAGATCCATGTTTGAAGCAGGAACTGGTGGGAAGTACAAAGGGCACTCTCTTCCCTCAGAGTACAACCCTGCAGAAATTTTTTACAGGTAACTGGTCTTGGGAAGGAACCTATCACCAGGGAGGAAAATGGATGGAATTTTCATCATCTTGGATGGGATGCTTCAGTTGAAAATCCTAACAATGAGTTTGCAAGGAAGTTTGTCACTAGGGACAACATCTTTCCAGACAAGAGGAAGGGGAAACTGGATATCTTCAAGCTACAGCAACATGGCCTGACAAAAGAGAGGATTGAAAATGGAGATTCCTTCTTTTTTATCACCAGTTGCTGCTGCAAATTGCTACAGATTCAAAGGAAACACAGCAGTATCAAATTGAACCAGAGAAGAAGCCAACTTATTAAAATAAGGTGAGGTACTTTCACAAGAAGAATGCTGCAGGGGATTTGATATAAAGCCTATAACCACAGCAAAAACAGCTGCAGCTGATCCCAAAAAAGGAACCAAAACTTATGGGAGGGTTCATTGTTCTTTCCAAAGAAGCACAGGATCTTGCACTTTAGGATCATTGGACTCTATTTCACCCTCTTCTCTTTACATTCACCAGAAGGGAAGGGACAGGAGAACTGAGAAACAACAGTGGGAATTGAAATGAGCATGCCTAAAGAGGTTTATCATTATAATATGATAAACTGTACCATATCAATGCGTACATCTCCAGAAGCCAACATTGGTTACACTCAAGCACATTGCAAGATTGGAAGCAGCAGGGTTTCTAGAAGGAAAGCATGCAAGACTTTCCTTAGGAATGCCAAGTTGCTTTCATATAAGAGCAGTAATGTAGAAACTTTAACCAAGGGGTTGCGCAGTTTTGGCTTGCACAGGTTGTAGTAGACCTCCCTGGATCTTTTTGTAGAAGTTGTTCAAGAACTTGTCAAACTTTTTGAAATTGCCATCCTTTATCTCAGTAACAGATATCTGACTGCTAGATTGTAGAGCAGTTGCAAGTTGACCCAGTAAATGTATTCTGGCATCAAAAGTTCTTCTTCATTGTATTGCGCCACCTATCTGTAATATTTTGTGTGTGTCCCACAACATAAAAAACAAAAGAGACCTTTTTGAAGTATTCTGCTTCCACCAAAAGAAGTGCCAGTCAAATCACCATGTTGTTCTTATTCTATCCTTKGCAATTGTCCATGATGATATTCCACTCTCCTCTGCAACAGTCTTCCTTTAAGTACCCATTCTTCTTGAGGATCATCAGTAATGTTGAAGCAACATTGTCTCCTCCCTTAGCTCCAAGCCAACCTCTTGTGTAATTACCTGTGTTGCTTCTGGTTGAGCTAGCTCCTCCTTGACATGGTGGTCAAGGAAATCATGAAGGTCTTCTTTAATTAGGGATGCATCAAAAGCCTTCATATTGTTGGGACTCCTCCCTTTGAGCTTGTGGATTGGTGAAGTGTTTGTCTTGCAAATGAACTTGCAACATGTGTCCCATCAACCTATCCCCCAGTCAAGAATAACACCATTGGTTGATCGACATACTTTGTATTCACCTATGTCTTGTGGTATATCATCTGCTGAATCATTGCCATGGCTTGGTGTTGTGGTTGCTGTTACATTAAAAGGCAAGAAGAAGATTTGCGTGATGGTGTTCTCTTTCTTTGCAACACCACTGTATCTGACCCAATCCATTACAGTGTTGTATTGGCAGAGTCTTTCTTTATTGTTGTAGAAGCCAATCATGTATATGGTAACAGCCTCCTGTAGTTTACTCTTGTCGTTGAGCATGGAGAGACAGTTACAACTCAGTGGCTTCCTTTTCCTCAAGCACTTGCATGAGCTCTCAATTGATTCTGATTGCAGGAACACTTTGCAAAGTTCAATCTTTCCCAGTCCTCCAGGCCCTTGTGTTCTCTGAAATTAGAGAAAGGACGCCATTTGTTCTATCCTTTAGGCATCTCCTTTGGCTGGCTGCATTCGAACCACACTGCTTGTTCTTGTCAACATTGGTCTTGTCTTTTTGCTTGTCCTTGATTGTTGTTGTTGTTTGCTTGCTGTTGCTGCTGCTGTACTTCCCCCTCTTTTTGTGAGCTATTAGTAGGACACAATAGAGGTTCTGAGGTGCTGTGGTTGTCACAGTATAGCTTAGTGATTGCCTTACATCCAATTAATAAGAGAACAGGATTACAGTCTTCAGTTACTGTATGTGAAATATGCAGTGAGCAGTTAGTCACTGTTTCCTCAAACTAAATTAAACTCACTATGCATACAGGCTTGTGTGCTGACAATTCCAGTAACTTTTCTATTGCAACACCAAGTACTGGTGGTGTCCCGGTAGGAAGTATCTGGAGCTCCTCAAAGTAGAACTTCAACAACATGTAACTCACTAACTAATTTGAATTGAGCAACACCAAGCATACCACCACCATAAAGCTTATTTAACTGTCTTTTCAACGGATAAGAGAACAAATATTTCATTTTTTGGCCTGCTGGCGTGATTTTTGACAGCGTTGACAAAGTTTCTGCTGTATTACCAGTCTTATATCATACCTTGCAGAGTATCACAGAGAACCAGGCAAATAGAAGATTCTGCTTCACACAAACAGACAATGAAAGTATGATGGCAGTGGTTCCAACAAAATCCACCAGAAACAAAAATCTTTGATACAAGTGCAGAGCAGGACAATATTCAATGTGTATTACCTGCAAAGTCCCTTTATGTTGGAATGGTTCGTTTAGGAGAAGGAATTACAATGGGGAGTCAACCACCAAGAAGTACTGTCATACCAACTACCATGATTATGAATGGTTTGGTCTTGGAAGAGGCAATTGCTTTTCTAAAGAGGAATGACAAAACAGCCAAAGATAGGAGTGACTGGAATCCTCCTAGCAATGATGATCTCAGAGATAACTCTGAGTACATGAAATACTTATTGGATATTGCAAATGAGGAGGATGCTGCTACAAATACTGGAGATGCTGATGTTGTTTCTTCACCATCAAGGAGTACCAACACAACCACTGTCAACAGCAAACTAACTCTACCAACTGTTGATAGTACTAGTAGTACTGAGTTAAGCTCAGTCAGTGGTGACGGAGTGGTTGGACCAATGGAAACAGTGTAACAAACACAATAATTAAGAAGCAGTCTAGCAATGGAAGAAGTATGGTAAAAATTACTTATTTGGTTAAAGATGGTTAAATGTGGATAGTTCTATTTGTTGCTGATTTGGTTGCTGGTTTGGTTGCTGATTCAGTTGCTGATTCAGTTGCTAATATGGTTCCTTCTGCTGAATCGGTTGCTTGTTTAGCCACTGAATTGGTTTCTGATTTGGTTGCTGATTAAGTTGCTGATTCGGTTGCCAATTCTCTTTTGTTTCTGGATCCTTTGTCCACCAAGGATCATGCTCAGCAAAAGCATACCTGGTGCTGTGCCTGTGCCTGGTGTGCTTGTTGTTGCTTATTCTATCCATTACATCTACCATAGCACTCCTCATAATCATCACTGTAGCTAGTTATAGATGTCCAAATCCCAGGAGAAGCTTCGAGAATCCATGTAGTTTGGATTCCCCCACTCATCATACTAGTAAGCAAACTCTCTGTCACACTGAATGCAAGGAAGTTTTTTTCCTCCTCATTACAGACCTGTAGATCTCAGAGAACCACTCATGTTTGTTAGTTAGGAGACAGCAGGACTATTCAAATAGTAGTAGTATATTGGAGAACACGTGCAGTAGTAAATTCAACTTTCAAATAATTGATCTATTGTACTACTAGTAGTTTTACTAGTAGTTCTTGTCAATAGTATTATGATGGCACTCATAGTAATACTACTACTACTTCTTAGTAGTAGTAGTAGTAGTAGTAGTAGTGTGGTACTAAATTAAGGTCACACTGAAGCATTGCTAACTAAGAATAATTTGGTTTGGTTTCTACAGATAATTTGATATCCGAACACTTCATTCCGTGTTAAGCAGCACACCACAACAGCAGACGATATTGTTGTTTGGTGTCATTTGAGTCGATTCGACTCGATTCCGTTCCATTCAAAACATTTATATCGGTTATCGTTCTATCTAGTACATGTGCCCCAGCTGTCTGGTATGGTGGTGATCGGGCCCGCCGCACCGTGTTGGCGGATCCTTCTGCTCTCAAATGACGTCGCCGTATTCGGCGCTCGTTCCGTCCTCGTCCTCGTCGCTGCCAGCCTCGCCGTATTCGGCGCTCGTTTCGCCGGTGCTCGTTCCTTCGATCCTTCCGCTCGAGTCGATCGGCCGGTACTTGCCGCCGTCGTTGTTCCCGGGGCTTCTCGGCTTGCTGGCGCCGTATCGATACGAGGACGCCCTCATCTTGAAGAACAGGATCAAACCCGACCCCACCAGCAGGGCGACGGCAGCAAGCCCAACTGCGACCCACGAGGTGAACGGGAGGTTTGCGGGGCCGGTGTTCTCTCCGGAAGCCAGGGCGGCCGAGCTACTGGCAGTGACGGTCTCATCGGTTGGGTCCGTTTTCTTTGATTTTTCCGATTTGCTTTCTTTCATCGATTTTTCCGAATTTCCCGATTTTCCTTTCTTGGTTGATTTCGAGACTTTGCCGCTCTTGGAGWCTTTCAATGACTTCGATTTGACCTTAGTCGATTTCGAGGGCGTCTTCTCGCTCTTCGTGGATTTCGCGGTGGTCTGCTCGGTTGGTGGTTCGGGGGATCCATCCGCTTCGCTGCCGCTCTTGCTATGTTTCGAAGACTTGGTGCTCTTGGAGACCAACCGGCGGCGCCCCCGGGAAAGGTCGCCCCGGCCCAGGATGGATCCCCTGGCTCCTCTGTCGCCGCCGCTGCTCGCCGTGAACAAGGAATCGGGGAGGACGGCCTCTGTGTGTGTGCCGTCTTGATCGAATCTAGACACCACCCCCTGGCTCGAAAGAGCATCCGCGCCGGGGAGGATCGAGGCGTCCGGTGCGACGAGTGCGAGCGCTAACGACAGCGCCAGCACCGTGCCAAACTGGTTCTTCTTGCGGTTCCCGCCGGAGCCGATGGGTCGACGACGATTCTCAGTGTGTGATGATTGCATTGTTCTAATGATTCGTTGTGCTGTCATCTACGGTTGCTTGTTGTCGTTTGGTTGGATGGTTGGTGGATGAGTTTATCTGCTGATGTCCTTTTTACTACGGTGTAGATATTGTGCTTCAGCGTTGGGCGATCTACTCTTCTGTGTAGTTTGTGTTCAATATTTTTCTTTTCTCTTTTTTTTTTTCGTTTCCATCGCAGTTTTTGTGGTGTCGCCTCTCGACGTTGAGGCAAGTTGCAATCACGTAGATTTTTACGGTCCGGTAATCGCTTCGCCGCGCTCCTTTTCTATCACTCGCGACCGTTGCGTTCCATCCGGGGTTCATTTGTGACCGGAACAAGGAAGGCACGTTCCGCSATCGGGAGAAGTAACTACGTACTAATACGAGTATTGGAGCGTATAGCAATACTGTATTCAGTAGGAGTATCTTTTCGAAAAGTGCCATATGCCTACTTACTGTTGAATTGCCGTACTACCCTACAAACCAGTTCTTAAGATGCAACGAGCGTCATTAAGTATTCCTTGTCCCAACGGAAAGGACGGGTAATCGTGCGGTACCAAAACGTACGTACCGGTAAGGACGAGGTTGTGGTGTGATATATCGCGTCCGATTTACAACAGGTTATGAGTCATAATTTTGCCAGCCATTTTTAGTAACCAGCAGCAAGCTTTGCTTGCTTGTTAAGGCTACCAAAGCACCAATCAGAATTCAAGAATCCACGAGTCCCAAAGGGTTTTCTTTTCTCTTCACAAGCATGTGCACATTGCTATGCAAATTTTGAGGAGACCATTTCCAGCTTGTTCATTTCTCTGCTGCGCACCGAAAATTGGAAAAAACTCATTCTTACTAGTAGTAACACAAGAATCTCCAGCATAGGGACCTGGCACTCCTCCAGTTCAACACCTAAACATCCACTAACAATGCAATCTATATACAGRATCTCTTAATAATAACAAGGGGAAKGGTATCCGGAAGTTGTGGATCAATCGACAGAGTGGTGGTTTGGGAGGAACAGCACTGCTGGCTGTAACTACCAGTAGAGAAAGAGCCTCCTTATCAGTGACTTGTATCAGCATCTCTGTATCAGCATCCTCCATATTAGCATCACCCATAACAGCAACTTGTATTCAACACAGCATCCATATCCAGTGTTTGTATCTAGTGTCTATATCTATTGTCTGTATCTAGCATCCTTACTATCCAGGAGTGTCCTTGTCCACCAGTGTCCTTATCCAGCAGCAACTCCTGTTGGCGCTTCCTCTGTATGGTGTATGGTATTTCGATGCAATTGACATACATCAAGAATGCTTTATGAAACAATATTGTGCCCAGCAGTTGAGTATCCATTACCCCAGTCCTTTGTGTCTTCTGCTCAATTGCTCCTCAAGTTGGCGGAACAGAAATATCTCCCTCCTCACATCTTTTCCCAGTGTGGTCAGTATGCTTGAAATACTGCTAAAGCCATTCTCCAAGCTCCAATGTCAGTTGGTGGGACGGGGTTTAGTCCTCTGAGGGTCATAACTGGTAGAAGCTATGTTATTCACTTCTCTAAACGTTAGAGTTGCATTACACCACAGTGAAGCTTCTTAGAACTGTCCGCTAGTGCTTTGAATTATTTTCAGGTCTCTCTAAACCTGTTCTTTAATTTCCCTCCATTGATATCCCACATTATGTTTGCAGATATCTGACCACTATCAGCAGCACTGTCACTGTTGACAAGAAAGGGCTTCTTATAGTGCCACTAAGGTGTGGTGACAACACCATTATGGACCTCACACACCAGACTCACCAACATACTCAAGATTTCAAAAGCTAACCTACGTACAGTCCACCAGATTAATTCAGTCCAAATGTATCTCAAGATTCAATGGCTCAGCAAATAGTGTCTTCCTGGCACAAACACACTGTCTCCTAGTATCTTCTCCCACCATCGTTTTGAAGCCTAGTAGTATTACTATCATCCTTCCATTACATATCCATATATATCAAATCCCAAACATAGTAGAAGCTGGAATGCCTTCACTAAACTCCTTCGAAGCATTCCCCAGGGTCCTGCCACAAGCAGGATTCTTAACACAGCTCATCAACTTGGCAATTGGCATCCTCCTTAGTATGCTACCCATGGTGTATGGAGTGCTTACCTGTCTAATGACAATCACAGTTGGACTTCACCACAGACAGGCCAGCAATGGCTGTCGCATCCTATTGTTTTGACTCAGATTGGACCCTCATGTGCAACACCTTTCTCTAGCAAATATACCCCTGGTAAACATGTCCCAGTTGGCACTTGGACTACCAAGAGTGAAGGTTTTCAATATGATCCAGCAAGTGTTCACCTATTTCCCCATGTCAGCAAGCCTCCACCTAAAATGCCCTAGACATCATGACCTGCCCTTTTAGACTACACCAATCCATGGCAACATCAGTTCCTCAAACATGACCATTTTGAGATCAGCTTACCACAAGCACTGTATGTGCTTACTTTGGGAATGACTCTTCTCATGGTTTCAGATAGATCTGGTAAAGATGGTTGTATGTCCTTTGGTTGGTCTCTAGCTACCACAGCTGGGGATAGAATTCTGCATACATATGGCCCATGCTTTGGAATTGAAAGTTCTCTTTGCACTGAAGCCACTGGCTTTTTATCTGTCAGTTTCTTTGTTACTCTGCTTGTATCACATCATCCACACCAAACCACCACATCTCCACTGACCTCCCATCATATTTCCACAAAAAGTCAAAGTTGTTACAGTTTGGGGACTGAAATGGATTTTTTTGTGCCACTCCTGTGCCAGCTCAGCTGAATGTTGTAGATGATCTTTATGCTGGCACATTTCAAGCTCAGCTCAGATGCCAAGAATGCCTAATTCCATCACACCACCAGTTTTACCTTCATACCCAGCCAGCAGTCCTTCAGCTTGTTCCTCAATCACACTCAGTAACAAGCCAAGAAAAGAGAGCTCTTGCTGAGTCTCTTCTCATTCCATATTATCATGCATACTTGGTAGTAGATAGGAACAAGTGGCTATTCCATGTCCTTGCTGATATTGCCTGGTGGAAGTCACTGGGGATTGCCATCAATTGCATCTCCATAAATCTTCTGGTGGTCACTAGTACTAGTAAATTCCGTCCTCAAACAGTGGAACTATCAAACACATAACACATGTTGTCTTTGCCCATAACCTGAAGATTCTGAGTATCTCTTTCAATGTTCTCATCCATCACAACTAGTAAGATGGCAGCGACAGACAATTACTAGTACCTCAGCAGCATTGAGGCAATGGTGATGGATGTCCACCACCTTAGCAGGCTTCAGATCAATTGCCACTCTTGTCAGCTGTTGTATCAAATGGCTGAATACTGGCACAGTTTCACCAGAGAAATATCCTCCTGTATCTCTCCATCCAGTTTCTTGACTTGATCATACCATTTCATTTGCAAGTAAAGATTGGTTGCGGCCGCCGCCTTGGTTTTTTTTTGGAAGGATGGCAGCGGCCAAAAAAACTTACTACGGCGCAAAAACTAGGTTATTGCTAGTAGAATGACTTGTTGTCACAATAATGACTGAATGTTTAAGTTAAAAATGAAATAATTTATTTTGGTAAAGGTACTAATTTATTTGCAAAAATTAATATACCGGGGTTTGTACAAATCTACACTAAAAAAATATCTTTTGTTTCCTCGGTAAGTCCATGGCTGTAAGAATTCTTCAAAGTTAGTGGCTACACACACTAAAGATAGAGATAGTGAAGTGCAGTGCACCGTAGCCAATAAATCAATTTTTCCGTTTTGTATTACCTTTTTTACTTCGAAAATGACTAGCCTGAACTCGAAATTAATGCCAGAATCGTTCTCAAATGACCTCCCAAACACCCTTGCCATCCTTGATTTATGACCCCTGCTTCGTAATTTACTTCGGACTACTGTATTTTTTTGGTAGATTAAATATTGGCATCGAGCCGGCAGTCTGTCCGTTGGAAGTTTATTCCCGTATATAAATATGCCAAACCAGCCCGTTAAGCTTTTTAGCATATTATTTACTATTCAAAATACGTACGCATGGGAATCACCAAGTATGTTCTTGTCGACATGTACCGTAATATCTTTCGTTCCTGCCTATTTTAGTACGAAGTACAGTACTAACTGTTACAGTAATGGCAGCTTCAAGGCGTAGAAGTACTGTACTTCGTATGACGTACTATGACCTACCGTACGGGTCATACTAAATAATCCCTTGCGTCGTCCCTTCATATTCATACTCCCGGTATTTTTCACAAAAATTTCACAATTCTTTTCGTACTTGTACCTTCCTTCTTCGGCACTTCTTCGCTTCTGTCTGATAGGATTAATTACTTCATTTTATTTGACGACAGCGAATACAGTCAAAAATACTACTTCTGCACCAGTTGATCAGTGAAGAATATAGCGACGCAAAGCAATTAACCATGGTAACCGGAAATCTTACACCCTTGGAAGAAGGCGTCAGTTTCACTTCGTCGACCGTGCCTGAGACAAAAGGCGCAAGCTCCGAACCACCCATCTCCCGGGTGGAGCGCAGAAGCAGGCTGTCGTCCATGGTCGCAGTGAACGTCACCGCCGAGAACAAGGTGAACTTCGGAATCCCCTCCCGTCAGAGCATGGCAGATTTTGCCCTCGAAAAACACGGCGAGGACGACTGGAGGAACAAAGTCCACCATTTTTTGGGCCAGAAGTGGCTCCAGCTGACCCTCAGCGGCCTCCTCGTGGCAGATGTGCTTATTATTTTCGCCGAGCTGTTTTTGCAGGCGGAATACCCCAGCTGTCGCCTAGTCGAGCGGGACTGCGAGGCCTGCTGTAGCGGAAGCGGCGCCGAACGGTGGCTTGCGGGGAGTGGTCACGATGAGGTATGCGAGGCGGGATACGAACCGATCGGTGTGCCGGGATGCGATAGCTATAAATGGCACACCGTTCACGTCATCGAAGAAGTTTTGTTTTATACCACGGTGGGCATTCTCTCGTAAGTATGTTTCGTGTTTCTGAAATGAAATCAAATGGACCTTTTTTCTGCCAGTATCAGCTGCTGTCATAAGCGAAGGAACAGTGAAGAAGGCATGTTCAACCGATTATTGCAAATACCGATCGATCTTTTGTTCGAGTTGCAAAAACAGGTTAACCACCATTCTCACGTTTGCGCTTGCTTTCTTTTCTTCTTGTCACTTGATGTGCCATGACTTCATAACAATGCGGCGTACCAACCAACGAAACAACAAACCTAATCTGTACCCATCCGGTGCCCCGCCGTTTGCAGGATCTTTTTGGTAGAGAACCTTGTCGAAATGGCCGTTTTGGGAGTGCGCAAGTACTTTCAGCAGGTGTTTTTGGCACTGGACTTTTTCGTCGTCACGATCAGCCTTACAATGGAGCTAACCCTGCACCTCATGCATTCCCAGCTAGGGCAGATGGTTGCCATCCTCGTCATATTTCGACTCTGGCGGTTCGTGCGGATTGGCCACGGCATCATGGAGGTTGCCTCGGAATTGACCCACGACCAGTATTTGCCCCTCATCGATTACGTAATGGATTGCGAGGACAAGATGAGGCAGGCAGGCATCAAGATTCCCGAAAAGACCCAAAAATGCAAAAAGCTTCTGGAGGACGGTCACCACTGATAATTTCATTTGCTGAGCACAATAATTTATCAAGAGCAATTCGCTGGGGTTTGCTATTGGATATCGATTCATTTTCGTCCTCGTTTTTCAGAGGAATGAAACAAAGCAACCAACTCGATAGAGAAGAAATAAAAATTCTGTTTTTCTTGATTTCGGAACCTCTTTCGACTGCAAGAAAGATTAGCCGCTTTCATCAGCAAGACCTATATGAAGATTGATATTTATTTTACATCAGTAGCCACTTTAACAGTTTTTTTCACGCTGGCACCGAACTGAAATGGTGTAGTATTCTGCGTTTAATGCAAGCGAGGTGCTGCAGTGGTGCGTGGTATTGTGTCACTTTCTGTTCCACCCTTCGTTCTGTTCCCTATGGCGATCGCGATGTTCCACGCATCGTTTCATCCATCGTTCCATCCGTACATCCCTCTAGGGACACGGCACGAAGAATTCTTTTCTGTGTGGCACCCACGTGGACTCTTGAGCAATTTCGGTAGCGTTCCAGCTCGGAAGATCGGCGGGGAACAAAATCTGGTTCTCGTCCATTGCCCAGTCACCGAAATCGTCGTAGCACTTCATTCCGTCCCCGAATCGGTTCACCTCGCAGAACAGCCGATTCGCGAACCGATCGCTGCCGGTCTCTCTGTGTTGCGCACCACCACGGACGATGGATTCCGAGAGGACCGTCGCCAGCGGCAGTGACTGCGTGAACGACGAATACCGGGCTGCGATCAACGCGTCGGTCGCCCCGAGGAGTGAGGCATCGATGAATTGACTAGCCCAGTTGGCTATGCATGCCCTGGAGGAACCAAAGTCTGTGACGTAGGTCACCCCCTCGTTGGCCTCGAGCCGCAGCTGGGGAAAGGCCTTGGTGGCAATACCGTAGGGAGCCAAGACCTTTGCCATCCTTGCGACAACCGACGCGTCGTCGGTGGCAATGAACACCAGTGGGGGCAGAGCCTGGGTGCGGGAATTATCTGTAAGGTGTTTTCCTCCCACCGCAGATTTCATGTTCCGGCCCAGCTCGTATAGGGTCTTTGCCAGGTTCGCCAAAAACTCGTCCAGGTCTTCCCCGATTCCTCGGTTCTTGTTTTTGAAATCACCCTTTTCGCCGTTTCCCGTTCGGACATGAACCCCAAAGGTAATGCGCTCCGAGAAGCGCTGTTCCTGAACAAAACGGGAGATCTTGTAGTTGTACCGAAAGAGCGATCGGAGCTGTTTGTAGAACTCATKGTCGGAACGTGCCTTGTCCATTACCATCTCTCTCGTCTTCTTGGGGCAGCGATACTCGTACCCCGGGGCTCCGTTGTTGAAACGGAGCGTCTCTTTTGTGCGCAATCCTTTCTCAACACGATGGAACTCCGTGTGCAAGAAAGAGGACAACTTGGTTATGTTGTTCTTTTCAGGATCGCGATTGGTTTTTCTTTCGATTGATTCGTTGGTATGGTTGGTTGCTACCGCTCCTCGTTCTGCTTCGGCAGAACGCTCCAGCGACAGATCGGTAGCCGCAGCTCGAACGCCTTCGGTAACATTGGCCGCCGTYTCGATGGCTACCATCGGTCCGCTCCCAAAGAGCAGCTCAAACAGGTCGATTCTCGATGATTTTGGCGTGCCTTTGCTTGCGCACACCGTTCCCCACTTGATCCACAGGTGGCGTGCCCCCAGGCCCCTGGCACCGTGAAAGGAAGCTGCCTGTCGCATAAGCCTGTGGCCGAGACCACAGCAGGCGATGTACAACACCTGGGGGGGTAGTGATGTGGATTTCTTCCCATCGCCAGAGCCGTCTCTCGATTTTCTTTCTATGGCTTCCCTTGCCACCGATGCTTTCCGCAGCGCGTTGTAATGATCCTGGGATTCGTCCGTGGGGAATCGTGAGCTGGACTCGAAACGTTGTCCCGGTGGACGGTTGCCCGTGTGACGATCGGCTGTCCCGGATCCGAGAAAGCTCGCTCTGGCGGAGTTCATGAACAATTTGAGAGCCTGGTCCCCCGCGTCGTATAGCGAGGCTGCTCGTTCTGCGGCTTCCCTTGCCGCCGATGCTTTCCGCAGCGCGTTGTTATAATCCCGGGATTCGCTCTTTTTGCTGGTGTCGCGGTCGTCTGTCCCGGATCCGAGTAAGCTCRCTCCGGGGGAGGTGGCGAGCAATTCGTGGACCTGGTCTCCCGCGCCCGCACCGTATAGGGGGGACAGCCCCCGGGCCGATTCCGAAACAAAGGGCAGCCACAGCGACGCCGCGGATGCTACTGCCAGGCAGAGCCAGACCATTCGAGGCGACGACGATTGCGAGGACGACGGTTGGCGGTGTGGCGCTGCGATTCGGCCCAGCCGCCGTGACCGCGAGCTGCTGCGAGTGGCGGCGTGGGACCGCGACCGTTTCTTGTCGGATGGGGTGTATTGCATTGTTGTCTTGGTTTGGTTTGGTTTGGGTTGGATTTGATTTGATTTGATTTGATTTGAATTAGATTGGATTGGATTGAGTCTTATTGCAGGTGGCTTGATATGCCGTCAACTGCTCCGTTCCGTTCTATGCGTTGGTCGATTCGTAAGCTGGCAGTACAGTCCGTTCTTGATTCTTTCGAAAGTGTCGGTCTATGATTTCAAATAGCATTTTCTACGCTTGCTCTTGTCGTCTTTATGTCTTCCATTACGGTTGGGTCGCAAGGAACGAYAAACATTGAAAATCAAGGATTCCAATCCGTAAGCAAGAATAGATGTCAATCGTCATTCACCATTCGTCGTTCATTATCGATCGAATTCATTGTTAGTAGTATTTGTATTGCTTCTCGTAATATTGTTTTTGTGAGGATAAATTCTTCCATAAGTCTTCCATCGGTCCGTCAAAACAATTGGAGGAGAGGCCAAAAATATCCTGGTCGAGAATCTCTTATTTGTTCCAAAAGAACGAATTGTAGTGATTCCTGACTCGTGTAAAAAAATGAACGAGCTTCCAAAAAACGTCAAACTTGCGTTCGGCAGTTGTACGGGCGCCGGCGGTACCAGAAGAAAAGGGTACGATTACCCAATAGAGCTACGAAGTACAATTCCAGTGCTGGCTGGTGTGTGCTGGGACGTTCGGTATCGACGATTTTACCACGTATCTTCACTACTAGACCCGTTACTGGAATGTTATTAGTAGACGCCACGTGACACACTACTTAGACCCATTTGAACAGTCCCACAAACTAAGTATGAAATTCGATACTCAAGGGGGGGGCTGGGAAAATTGAAAATTTTTTCTGGTAGCGTGGCTTATATTATGGTAGCATTTTTAGTCGCAATCTGGTAGCAATTATAGCTACCATCTGGTAGCAATTATAGCTACCATTTAATGTTTCTGGTAACTGATGTTTTTAGTAGTATGAGTAATACATACTTAGTACTCACGTTACAGGATGAAAATTTTAAGTACGTAGTGCGTGGTACTAGCAGCACTCTTATCAGTACCGTTTTTGGGAGTGGTCCCATGAAAAGAATTTCAATTAAAAATTGTACCGTATGGTAGGAAAGATATCCTACCAGAAGTGGACAAAAAATGCTACCAGATTGCGACTAAAAATGCTACCATATGGTAACATTTTTTGCTGCAATCTGGTAGCATTTTTTGTCCACTTCTGGTAGGATATCTTTCCTACCATAAAAAAAATCTTAATATTTGATTTCTCTCAACCCCCTTCCCCAACTTCCAGTCCGGTGGACTTGATATTGCTCACGACTGAATACTCTCTTTAGGGCGCCAGCAAGCTTCCATTCCCACTACCACAGTATTGCCTGGTAGCATGGCTGACGTGGTAGTAAAATCGTCGATACCGAACGTCCCTGGCAAGTTGAAGGCAATTCCCCGGGTGTCAATTTTTTCTCATTTTCCCATCTTTATTTCCCCTCTCCCCCCCCCTCCACACAAAAAACTTGTCCTAAAATATTTTTATTAGCGGTCCTTACTACTGGGGATATAAAATCAGTGCTTACTACTTGAGAATTAATATTGGTGCTTACTACTGGATCACATCAATTACTACTTACTAGTTGGGATGTCATCATAGTGAACACTGTGAACTGCTGGGTAAGGGGGTCTGTTGGCACTACTCTCCTCCTCTCTTCTCCTCAAAAACTGATAGATGCATGATCATGTGCTGTTAAAGATCACTTTATTTTTATTTTTGATGAAGTTCTTACTAATTGAAAGTTGAATAGTTTTACTAGTATTACATTATGCAGTAAAAAATTAACTGAGAAAAATTGCTGGGAATAGCTATTTTTCTATTTTTTGACCAAACATGGCAGTGGAAAAAATAGTATGAGTTTTTCTCTTGTTGATGCAAGGGGGGAAAGTCTGTTGCACATTCATCTCTGAATTATGACCTCTATGATTACCCAATATGCTGGTACATCATCATGAACTACAGTAAAACAAAATGGGTCATTCATGGAATACCAGGCGCCTTGGTGATAGACGTAGCATGAGGTAAATGCAACTTGTTGTCTTGGGTTGGTGCTTTTTTGGTACAGAACAAAAGGACCCGTAGCAAGATAATTGTCAATGGCCTTTAGACTCACCTTGACTGTAATGTACAAATGGTTGAAGTACTGGCAGAAAGTTCTTCTCTCTGTGTTACAAAACCATCCTGCTGCCATAGTTGCAATGCTATCAAGAGAAGAAATCTATGGTGATGTTCTTGAGGCTATAACTTACTAGAAATACACCCCTTGTTTGGATGACAATATGTATGGGCTGCAGTAGATTGTCTCAAGATTGATCATGGTGTGYATGGGAAAATTGAGGTGCTCTACAACCATTACAAAGCAAAGGTTGCAGCTGTCAACTCAGCTTTCAAGTTTGCAGGAAAGGAGCTTCTCATCAGGATCTATCCTTGAATGGCCAAGCAGCATACCTTCAACACTTGTTGGAGTGGGGAATGTGTATGTTTCAAGGAGCATTTCTGTGATTGAAAGACAAGATGCTCATTGAGGAAGATGCTCGTGGAGGACTACGGAGACCTGAAGATCATTATGAACCTTGTTATTCTTTTGCACAACTTACAGGCAATTACCATTGGGATTACCCACCAGATATTGAATGTTTTCACGGAGAGGGATAATGGCAATGGTGGTGTTGGATTCTTTGGTCATGAGGAGAGTATTTGAGAAGATGAGAACGTCTTCTTTTCAATGCTGACTACCAAGGCAGGGGACAACAGCTCTGACTCATCCAGCGACAACAAGGGGAGGGGGGGAGGATGCCATTGTGGGGAAATGATATTGATATTGTTAATTTTCTTGGGCTACTAGCACTAGCACTAGCACTAGCACTAGCACTAGCACTAGCACTAGCACTAGCACTAGCACTAGCACCAGTGCTAGCATTACTGCTAATTCACTTAATCTTGATGGAGGGGGGGGAAGGGGGGTATTACTATGCTGGGTGCTTGATATTTGCTACTATCTAGCTGTTGGAATTATTGAGAGAGCAATCCAGCATGCCCATATCAGAATAGCAATATAAAAATTTCTCCTGCCATCATGTTTGTATGTGGATAGCAATAGAAAATTTGGTTGGTTTATAGTCAGTTTTACTCTAGTAATTGGTCCAATGTGGTTCCCCTAATGTGGTTGGGACATTCAGAAAAATGAGGCAAGGAATCCAGCAAGCAAGGCAAAACAAGATACTACTGCTTCAAACTACTTGTTGTAACTCTTTTTCTTATTGTACATAAAACACACTTTGATACAGTCATCTTTCTGATACTAAGGATACTAACCACGTCTACCACTTCCATGTTATTGTTGTCTCTAATGGTGTTGTTGATGCCATGGTTTTTGTTGGTTAGAGCCATTACTTCTCCTGACTAGGGAGAAGAATGCTCCTATCTGCTGTGAGGGGCAATGCCTCCCTCCAAGAAGGAGTTTTGTGGAGGAGTGACAAGGTTCAATAAAGACTGACAAGCCAATGAAGGCAGGTCACTGGACTCAGATGGTATAGAAAGAGTTGGTTCACAGTCTGGATGGATGAGAGCAATACCAGATCATTTCAAAGTGCATTGCCAAGCCAAAAAGGCAAGTCCTTCCACATTGACAAAGGAAACAAGTGGCAAGCACACTGCCAAGACAAGGTCTTCCAGCACAGTGTACTACAAGGGTGTAGGCGGGGAGGAGGTAGTCATAAAAATAAAAAATTAAAAAAAGCCAAAATAAAATAAAAAACATGTACTCTTTGGTCTTGTTATCATAGTATTTGGGCCCACATGTACTATTTAATGATGACAATGAGGAACTGGACAGTGGGAAGGATTTGGATTGTATCCACAACAGCTTGGTTGGATTCCTTTAGTAATATGAGATTGTTGGGTTATTGTTGTTGCTGTCCAACACAAATGTCRGAAACAACATCATCATGATTGGAATCTTCTTCCAGCAGTCTACAATTACTACAACTGGCACATGGAGCTAAGGCTGGTGTTGAATCTTCTTGGCCTTAAACACAGTATCTAGCAAAGTATACTCCAGGAGTTATTCTTCAAAGGAAAGGTCTTGGTGATTGAATACTGGGGGCTGTTGTTGTTGTTGTTGTTGTTGTTGTTGTTGTTGTTGTTGTTGTTGTTGTTGTTGTTGTTGTTGTTGTTGTTGTTGTTGTTGTTGTTGTTGTTG